ACCTGTCTCTCCCGTATTCGTCCCGGAAACCGGATTAGTCCGGAAGTTCAGTTTGATCCAATGAGCACAGGCAGCAGTAGATTACGTCACGGAATCTGGACGGAAGCGGAAGTAAATATAAAAAACTACCTATTCATGCCTAAACTTAACCAGCCATTCCCATAAAATAACCCCAACCCAGCCTTAACCCTAAACTTAACCATCTTAATCAGACGCCTAAACTTAACCAGTCACCACTTAAGGACATATTAAACTTTTTGACATGCGCAAACTGAACTTCCGGACGAATACGGTTTCCGGGACGAATACGGGAGTGACAGTACCATCATATTAGTCCTGACTAGAACCAGGAAGTACGACCACATTAGTCCTGACTAGAACCAGGAAGTACGACCACATTAGTCCTGACTAGAACCAGGAAGTATGATCAGATTAGTCCTGACTAGAACTAGGAAGTACGACCACATTAGTCCTGACTAGAACCAGGAAGTATGATCATATTAGTCCTGACTAGAACCAGGAAGTATGACCACATTAGTTCTGAGAGAATAGACTTTAAAACAGCTCTGCTTGTTACAAGTCTCTCCATGGCCTCGCACCAAAATATATTAGTGTTAGAGCCAAAAGAAGCATCTGGAGAAGTGAGTCCCAAGTGTGAGCCAAGGTGAAAGCCCCCTCGTCTCTGTTGATGGTCCGTGTGCACCGCTTCCTGTTTTCAGGAGATTCCGGGCTTTCATCAGAGCCTTAGTTCTTTCAGACTGACCACATCTGGCAACAGCTGATCAGAGACGTCACACGAGTCACTGACGAAGGCGAAAGTCTACCGCCACAACATGTGTTAATGAAGCAGTACGAACTTCTTTACTCTTTAGCCTTTATAATGATAATACTACGTCAAACTTTTATAACGCTTTACGGGACACTCAAAGACATTTTACAAAACAAATAAAGTAAACATAGAAGATACAAATGAAAAGGAAAGACTGAAACAGGTGGGTTCTGAAAAGTAATTTAAAGTTCTGCAGTGAGTTTCTGATTGGTTCAACATAAAAAGACAAACATAACTTTTTACATTTATTCATGAACCTTGGTCTCTGCTTCTTATGGACCAATGTCTCTATGTGTTTGTAATCATTGCATATCCTGAGTTTGATTCTCTAATCTGTTGGCGAATCGACAGCCTTGTAAAGTCCTCGGAGATAACTACTGCTGTGGTTTAAATAATTAAAATAAATCCATAAAACACTTGATTTGATTTGAAATGAGACGAAGAACAACTGCTTTAGGACTTCCTCATGTTTGGATAAATATATATTTGCCTCTGTTTGAGAAAAGCCATCTCTCTCTCGGATGCATTTATCGACTGTTTTGTTGGAAGGAAAGGTCAGAGGACACCTGCAGGAAGAAATCATTATACAGCTGCTGTCCTGCCAGACCCTGTGTGGAGCCCTGTGGAGCCCTGTGGAGCCCGGGACCACACTTTGAGAAACATGTGGATGACCCTGAAACTCAAGCTACTTATGTGGGAGTCAGTCTGAAATGTGTGTTGTTGTTGAGAGTCGAGGCTCTGGATCAGGGCTCTCCAACGTTTTTCACTTGGAGAGGTGCTATTATAAAGGCAAGGCAAGTTTCAGCAGGAAGTAAAGACCTCTCCTTCACACAGAGAGGGTGAATAAGTCTGTCACTGAAGCTACTTTCCGGGTCAGACAGAGTGTCCTGCAGGGGGCGACAGTCATGGTCGAGATCAGGTATCCACAACCTTTTTCCCTTGCAGAGCTACTTTCCCGGGACGATAAAGACAGAGAGCTACTCCTTTAAGCTAATCCTGGGGAAATATGTGTTGATCCATTGGTGTGAACTTTCCTGATGCTTGGTACAGTCGTTATTTATCGTTGCAATTTTTTTTCTAGTGCAAACAGTAAGTAAATAATTATAACATTTTTAAACTTGGATCAAGTTGTTTTGGGCTAATATTATTTTCATAAATCTTGCGTCATAATTTCTTGTTCTATTTTCAGATAATTATTTTATATTTTAAGCAGTACTTTACTTATTTTCAATGATTTTTTTCCCAGCGATTTTCTCCAGTGAGTCACCTCCTTCAGTGTCCACGGCGACTTCTCCAAACCCAGACACACTTCAGAACAATGGCCTCATGCAAATCAGCCTCTCTGTCCCGCGGAGCAGAGAGGGCGGGAAGGCAAATTGGATCGAACGCAATTGAGTTCACGGAGCAGGGAATGAATCGATAAAGCTGAGAAAAGGCTTTTCAAAGGAGTCGGAGCCACCGCAGGTAAGAACCTCACAACCTCAACCCTCTCCGCGGTTTCACATCTGTAGCCACCGCTCTCCAGGATCCTGTCTCTGGTTTGTTTCCTTTCTTTGGTGTAAATGGAGACAGTGGCTGAGTGGTTAGCCCTCTCGATTCGCAGCTAGAAGGTCCTGGATTCGAATGGCGGTCGGAACATGGCCTTTCTGACTCGAGTTTACATGTTTTCCT